GATGAGGGCTTAATTCATTCTAATGTATTTCGGTTGTCTTCGCACTTGATACATTGTGAAACATGAACTTATGTTACTCGTGTGAAACGCGTTTTCATTCATGGTATGCAATTGCACCTTTGCCAAATCATGTAAAAAACTTGCCCTGCTGTCTGCCATGTTGCTATGGGAGACATTATACAGAAAATAATCACTGTGGAAGTATTATATGTTGCATTTACTTGGTTTGCTTTATCTTCAGATCTGCAGGCGACGATGACCTTTGCACCCATCATGCTTATCTGCTTGGCCGTGGCGTAGCCGATACCTGTTGAACATAGCGGGGGTTGATGAGATATTGGCCTGTTTGTGGTAAAAAATAGCTCACTAGACAACTCACGCCAAATGTACTTTATTATATGAAGGGTTATATGTTTTTATGACATTAAAAAAAGGGTATAGCATGCGTTTTCGTCATTTGATGTTCTATAACGGGGAAAGAGCAGGATCCGGTTCTGTATGTATAGACGAGATAGTCTTAGTACTTTCCCAGACAATTGTCCACTCTCCGGCTTTACGGCCCGACAAAAATAATTTTGGCAAGTCAATGACACTGAATTAACAACAAAACCCAAACAAATACGCAATTTAATTATCTATGTTATTTATATGGAGGCTTGCGTTGGCAACGTGAACGTGTGTATGCGTGTATATTACCTGTATTTGCACCAGTGACGATGACCGTCTTCGCCGACATATCGACCCTTGGGTAGGAGTATTTATTACCCATGGTTACTGTGATATTCGTCGGTACACACAAGGTAAAGTATTAGCTGGAGTGCTGCCTTTTTGATGGTGAGACAAAAACTGCAAGACAACTCCGTTGGTAAATGCAAATAAACTAAAATAGCTTAGTCATGCACAGTTGACACTTAATATTTACTATGCAAATACTGGATGTATAAATCTATAGAGGACGATATATTCAGGATAAAGGCAACCGAAATGTTTTACGCTCCATCATTTTATTTCTTGCATAATAGGTCATTGATGAATGTACTTATTTATTTAAGTTGACCTCATTTCAAGCCCAGAACCTACATAATGTGAAAACTATACCGAATTATTTACATTCGATGTTCGTAGTTCCCCATCAATATGCAAAGTAGACTGTGTCGTGGCGAGGAAGGCTCCTGTCGACGTTAGTGTGGTGCTTCCTTAGTAGACTACGTATTCGAACCATGTTTAGTGGTGCAAATGCATTGTTCGTTCGCCTGTAATTATTTCCCTTTGATGATCGTATTTCTCCAACAATGTGACAATTTAATATTCAATGTTCGCCTATCTTTTCGCCAAGTAATTTTACGCCCAATGTATCTACTTGTTATGCACTTTCTTATCAGAATGCGTGAACCATGGATCCATTGGACGCATTTACAATCCAAACGTTCGGGATAACTTGAAAACTTTGTTCCAAACTGTGTCTGGCGCCGCGACGCCTCCCCCTAAACCCGCGCGTGTACACGCAGTGTTATGCTCAATTCGCTCGAATTCCACAACGCGTGTCAGTAATTTGATATAGTTTTCGTAATATATTATTTGGGACAATGTTCATGGATTGTGTCAAAGGTTTATTATGGTAAACGTACAACGATGAAGAGATAAACAATTAGGCTTCTATAGATAACTGCACGTAGTATATCCATTACGATAGCAAACATTAAATAGCAACTTTGCGTGACTAAGCTGTTTAGTTAACCTACATTCACTGACATAGTTGTTCCTCAGTTTTATTTTTGACATGTCATCGTCAATGGTGCAAATGTAGTTAAAATAGACACGCGTTCATACGCTTATATTGTCGACGCATGCCGCCGTATACATAACATTGATGATTTCATTGCTTACTTATTCAATTTTTTAACAACTGTATGTTTATGTAAACATATGCAATGACTATTATAACTGCTTATCCTTTGAAGTCCATTATCAGTGTAATATAATTTCGTTATCTCAATTTATAGATACAAGGTAGTTACAGTTTTTGTGTCAGGTATCTGTGCTGTGCGATTTTAAGGCGTCACTGCTTGTTTCCCCATGAAGTGCAGAAACAGATATGGTCGTGTTTGTGACTTCACAATTAAATAGAAAAAAAAAACTTTTTCTCAATTATCAAAAATTGCAAATTGTCTATTTATTTTAATTCTTACAACCTTATTTTTTTTACTTCTTATCCATTTTAGGAAAACATGTCAGAGAAACTTAAAGCGAGAGGGTCGTCACCTGCGCACGCGCGGGAATTGAGTTCCAAGCGACGATAACAACACAGCTAAAAACGCAAAGGCTCATGGGTAGACGCTTGTTTGAATAGTGACACGCTATGGCCATCTGACGCATGCGCAGGTGACGACTCCCCCGCTTTAGTTTACTATCAGAGCGATGTCCCGAACCAACAACTAAAACTGGTAAAACATTGCGATAAAATGAAAGAATAAATAAAAAAAAACTGTTCCACAACTCGGTAATTGCTTTTTTCGATTTGAAAAAATTTAACCAGTAAATTAGATACAAATGTGTGTATTTATTCTTAATGCGATAAGAGATATTATATATTACATGGACAAGGTATATAGAACACTTGGTGTACAGCAAAGACATGATACCTTGTGTTTCGATGCTTCATACCCTAAACAAGTGAAATTAGCTGATTTTGTGAACATTTTGAAAGATACCATGTTATCTCCACGAGAAAATGAATGATGAGGCAAACCTTTCCAGAGAAATAGTTTCGAAGAAAGAAGGGGGTAATATGTACATATGCCGTGCGTAACGAATGCGGTGGAAAATGCATTGTCTGAGACAGTGCATGGTATATTGTCGATAATAAACAATCATATTGCAGCCTTGTCGAAAATGTAAGGTGAGTATGTATGCATGAAATAGGAGAATCTCATTTTAAAATCTCAAGTTCATGTGGACAGATATAATAGCAATACAAATCCAAGATTACATAATATTCATATTATTTTCTTTTTAC